ATTCTATTCTATTCTATTCTATTCTATTCTATTCTATTCTATTCTATGTTTGAGAGAAAAACCTTCAAAATCACCTTCCACTAGAAATAACAAGAGTAAATATAAAGTGTCCTACACAGTAATTTCACCATGGCTTCCTGTGGTACATGTAGCCAACAATTGTGTGACACCATCACAAATGATCACTAAGCATTCCAGATTTTGAATATCTTTGGTTCTTTTCAACCTCAGAACAGAAATGGGACCGACCAAATTGCAGGGCTAGAAATGAAGAGACTCCAAAAGCAGAATTTGAGGGGAACAAAGGCTGACCATATATACAGTATCCAGGAAGAGAACTTCTCTCATGAAAGTGCCACAGAAACTAATGTCTCAACTAAGCCAGTAAGCCACATGAAAAGCTATCTTCAAAATGCTCCCGAATACTACTTTGAAAATATTTAAATTGTTTTTGTTTTATTCAATCTCCCAGATCTTGCAATTTCTTATGCTTTTTCCCTAACCCACCCTGAACTACAGTTGTATGTGATCTGGTTTAATCCAAACTATATTACTCCTTGGAAATAGCTGCCAATAAGAAATAAAACAAAATATTTCTCCTAAAATGAAGTTCTTCTAACATTTATCCGTTATATATCCACATTTAATGACTGTTTATTGATATTGCTCCTAGTACATTAAGGAAGGAAAGAAAATATTCACATTGTACTACAGAAATGAAATATTTTGGGATGGAATTTTACACCACTCTGTAAAGTTACAAAAATATAATAAACAAATGCAAGCTATGGAAGCAATGCAAAAAAAAAAAAAAAGTTAACTGGAATCTTCAATTAACTCAATAATAGTAACTGTGAGAGGGATCCTAGAGTCCTAATGGACAATCACTTATATATGAGCCAGCAGGGTGCTTCAGTTGCCAAAAAAAGCCAAGGCAGATCTAGGTTGCATTAACAAAAGGATAAAATCAAGATCACATGAAATGTTAATATTACTTTATAATACCTTGGTATGTCTGCACTTGGAATATTATATCTAGTTTTGGTTGCCCTGATATAAAAAAAAGATGTTGAGACTCTAGAAAAAGTGCAGAGAAGACGAAGACAATTAAGAGGCTGGAAGTTACAGCATATGAACAACTGTTGCAAGAATTATGTCTAGTTTAACGAAAAGAAAGACATGATAGCAGTGTTCCAATATCTAAGGGAGTGCCACAGAGATGTGGGGGTAAACCTATTCTCCAAAGCACCCAAAGAAAGAACAAGAAGCAATGGATGGAAAGTAATCAAGGAGAGAACCAACCCAGAACTAAGGATAAATTTCCTGACAGAACAATTAATCAGTGGAACATTTTGCTTCCAGAAGTTGTGGATGCTCCAATACTGGAAGTTTTGTTTTTTTTTAGCAGCAATTGGACAACCATTTTTCTGAAATGGTATAGTCTCCTGCTTGAGCAGGGGTTTGGACTAGAAGACCTCCAAAGTCCCTTCCAACTCTCTTATTCTGTTAGCTTCTTCTTCTTTAGACTAGAAAACACTCACCTGTTACATTTTACCACTATTAACTCATAAAACTCCTCCTCTTTATGGCTTTAATGCCTCAGATTCTAGGAATTTGCTGAGATATCTAGATCCAACTATCCCTTTCTGTTATGATCCCCTAGTGTAAACTAATATAAATCCCTCACCTTTTAGGAAGAGATCAGAAAAGAGGAACAGTCCCAGGGTCAGGTGCTGCTGTAGCATGCTGTCCTTCACTGCACACTCGCATTCTCCTTTAACTTCTACCTGTTGGTTTGACTGCCACCAAAAATCTCTTTAGAAAAGCATTTCCCCCTTCTATCATTTGCATAGCACATACTTGAAATCAAATTGAAACACCATTACTTCTGCTTTTTCCACTCAGTTATGAAAATTCTTCTTGCTCATGATGAAGAAAGAGGAAGCAGAAGTCCACCACCAATAATTTACAAGTCCAGTTTTTCAAGCATCTTGTCTGAATATGACAGGAAGGAAATAGGGGGATCTAAAATAAGAAGAGTCTGCAGTTTACCATGTGCATTAACTTGCAATCCTTCAAATAAGTACAGAAGGCCTGAGGACTTCAGCTTCCATGTAGGTACGGTAGAGGCAAATACTATAAGTGTGCTGGAAATAAACACGTTTTATTGGCAAAAAGGAGCAGAATGATGAGTCCAGAATGATGAGTTATTTGAAGAATATTCATCATAATGTCCATGTGTTAACACAAGGCAAGTAAAAGACTATGGTCATATCATATCCTGGCTGTCTTGGCTCCAGTCCATTCTTTATTGGAGTTGTGACACCTACAATCACAAGTGGGAGGGGATGGATGATAATGAGTGATGAGAAGATTAACAGTGAAAGTAGTGCACACTTTGTAAATAGTTGAACAGTGTTGAGGGAATTATTTGTTTAGCAGAGTGATGGCTTTCAGGAAAAATCTTTTCTGGTGTACAGTGCTCTATAGCATCGTTTTGAGGGAAGGAGTTGAAACAGTTTATGTCTGGGATGTGAGGGGTCTGTAAATATTTTCACAGCCCTCTTTTACAAGGGCAGAAATTCAGCAGCACTCAAAAGGAACTGCTTTTAAAATAAAAAAAAACTATTCAGATTAGCCTGCAACACACTGGAATTAAGATAAGATAAGATAAATTTATTGTCATTGTACTCAGAAACCTGAGAACAACGAAATAAGGTGCTCTTCCACAACATACAACTGAACAACACCAAAAGACATATACAAATAACAATGTAAAACAAATTAAAACAATAACAGTTAAAAACTGTACAACCAGGATATATATATGTTAAGACCACCAGATTCATAACTCTGCATTTAACCTGATCACAGCACTTGGGTAAAAGCTATGTTTAAATCTACTTGTCCTGGCTTTCAGCACTCTATATCGTCTTCCTGATGGTAGGATCTCAAACAACGAGAGGCCTGGATGCGAAGGGTCTCTCAAGATCTTTTGTATCTTCCTTCTACATCCCATGTTATACAAATCCTCCAATGAGGGAAGAGGACATCCGCTGATCTTTTGTGCCCTTTTTTCCGCCTCTGTACAACTCCTAAACCACACACAGAGGCAATAAGATAAAATGCTCTCTATAGAGCTTCGATAAAAGGCAACCAACAAACTCTCTGGCAGTTGTTGTGATCTTAAAAGTCTTAAAAAATACAGTCATTGATGAGCCTTTTTTTCTAGGGCTAAAATATTTGCCCCCCATGTTAGATCTTGTTTCAGGGTGATACCTAAAAACTTACATTCTGCCACCTGTTCTACCAAAACACCATTGATATACAACAGCTGGATATCCGAACTGCTCTTCCTGTAATCCACTATGAATTCCTTCGTCTTATTTATATTAAAAATATGATTGTTTACTTTGCACCAGAGGGACAGCTGATGAACTTCATCCCTGTACGCAGACTCATCATTTTCAGAAATGAGCCCCACCAACGTTATATCATCTGCAAACTTAATGATCTTATTACTCAGATGAATAGAGGTGCAATCAGACGTATAAATAGTGAATAAAAGTGGACTCAATACACAGCCCTGAGGAGTGCCAGTATTGAGGATCTCCACAGAAGAGATATGTTCATTCATCCTAACCCTTTGCAAACGATGTGATAAAAAATTCAGAATCCACCAACATATGGAGTCTGGTAGCTTCAGATCATTAAGCTTAGACATCAATCTGTGGGGTAATATTGTGTTGAAAGCAGAACTAAAGTCAACAAATAATATTCTGACGTACGTTCCTTTTTTCTCCAAGTGAGATAGGGCAGTATGAAGAACAGTATTGACAGCATCCTCAGTAGATCTGTTTGTTCTATAAGCAAACTGATAATTGTCAAAGGTAACAGGAAGGCAAGAAATAATATATTTCCGAACTAACTGCTCGAAGCACTTCATTATCACAGAAGTCAATGCCACCGGCCTGAAGTTATTTAAAGCATTTGCAGGTGACTTCTTGGGTACTGGAACAATAATAGAAGCCTTCAGACAAGTTGGAACAATATACTGTAGCAAAGAACGATTGAAAATCTCAGTCCACACCCTGGCTAACTGATCCGCACATTCTTTTACTACACAACCAGGAATGTTATCAGGTCCTGCAGCTTTTCTAGAGTTTACCGCTTTCATTATACACCTAACATCATGCTCCTTCACAACAAGAGGAGCACATATATTGCGGCAGAGATTGGTGGATAGATGGTGAATTCTGACTGGAGTCAGCTCTCCTGACAAGGAAAGATTATGAGATCACCCACTAGCACTCTAGACAATTGTTCCTTGTATGAGACTGCAGGAACTGAAGTTTTTGTGATGAACTCATGAGTCAAAAGACTAGAAATTGATGGATTTCAGTTAAGTTCACAACTGTAACACAGCCTAACTGGACACAAAGTTCACAAAAGCCTCACTTTCTTATTCATTATAGGATATAATCAATTTGCAGTTCAAGGGGGGGGGAGGAGGAAAGCCTACTTTTTAGCCTGCCTCTTGTAATTCATACACATTCATTTTGGATTAGAGTATTAGAATGACAGCTACCAGGAAAGCCACAAAAACAGCAGAAGAGAAAAGAGGATTGTTAGAACAACATGAAGAAAGGAATTACACAGAGTTGTTTTCAGAAAATGTTTCAGGAATTAGGTAAAAGGTTGTCTAAATCACAACACTCAATTGATAGCTTTTGAAGAGAGAATGGACGAAAGACTTATAAAGATAAAAGAAAAGATAAAAGAAGAAGTTAAGAAGATGGGAAGCACTGTAAAACAAGTCACTGGACAAAATGACAAAGAGGAAAATCTGGAAAATGAGACAGAAGTTAGAAATGGAGAGAGGGAAAGAGATTTGATAAACTGGCATTATTGGAGTTGAGAGACTAGGAATTTTGCTTTTTTAAGGAATGAGAGGAACAGGACACAGGGGCAGAATTAGACAATATTTATAGAATAAATACAAAATTAAGAAATTAAGAAATGTTCTGAGGGAAGTCCTGATGCTCTTTGTCAGCAGGAAGATAAGAGACTAAGTTCTGCAGCAGCATTTTAATACAAGTTGTAACAGAAGCCATCTTGAGAAAGCTGAGTTGGGAAATGCCATGAGTTAAACTGTTAAAAGGATAAGCAGGTAGCCCATGGTCATCTACCATCTTGGTTACATTCAGACCAGGACAAAGACCTGCCAAATGGAATAGAAAAGAGAAGGCCCAATTAGGAGCTTTGTCAATCACACTGTCTCAGACATGAACATTTCAAGATAAAGTCTGATAGCTGAAGGATGTCAACACTGATGCCTAAGGCTCTCCAAGATGCATGAAAGGCCACCATATCTAGAAAGATTGCGTGCAACATTCCTATCACTTCATTCCTTTTCAAAAGTGCATAAGAATATGAACAGATGGCTAAGGATGACATTCCCAGCCTCATATCCTCAACAGAGTTGAGTGAGAACTCAAATCATTCCATCCAACCAATCTCAGGAGGATCTGGTTTGAGAAAGCTGCCTTTAACCCAGCCTGAATTTGTCCGGCTTCCTAGGAAGAACAAGGAAGTAACTAAAAGTTGTAGTCATATAAAGGACCATTCTCAGGAAGAACTTAAAGGAGTAGATTTATGAATTAATTGAAATCTGGCTTGTCATTTAAGCATTTCACCACCACCATCCTTAGTTCCTGGAAAATAAAAATGCAGGAAAGGAGGGAGGAAAGGTCTTGGTGATTGTATCATCTCTTTCAAACTAAGGGCAGGGTTATCAAACTCAATTTCGTTGAGGGCCACATCAGGGTTGTATTTGACCTCAGGGTGTGGTCAGGGTGAATGTGGCCAGCTCGACATCACTCATGTTGGGATCACCTGTGGCATCTCTGTTTTCACTGATAGAGGCACCACGGGCTGGTCCTTCACTGTTTTCAGGTGGCCCTGGGGGCCATATCTAAGCACCCCATGGGCCAGATCCTGCCTGCCAGCCTTGAGTTTGAAACCCCTGAACTAGGGCGAATGGGCCATGATAGGGATATAGGGAAGGCCCTTCAAGCATTGTGCTTGAGTTGCAAAAGAAGGACTATGTTAGTATATGGTAGTAAAAAGTCATGTTTTATTAAAAGGCATATACTTTTATGAGTTGCCAAAAAACTGTGATAAGCTACACACACACAAACACACACACACACACACACACACCTTGAGAACCATCACTGGTGTGTTGGATACATCACCCCCATCCATCAAAACATTCTCTTTAAGGTGCAGAATAGACTTGGTGTTCTACTTTCCGTCTCTGTTCTGCTGCTCTACATGCATAAAAAGATTAAAGCTGGACTAATCAAAGAATCCTCCCTTTGAGACTTTCTCTACTAATTAATCATCCCATTGTTTCCAGTCCCTCTGGAAAATTCTGCGCCTTTTGATATAAACATCTAACGTAAATTCTTGCTCATTGCGCAGGCTTCTCTCTCTCTCTCTCTCTCTCTCTCTCTCTCTCTCTCTCTCTCTCTCTCTCCCTACCTTCCTCCCGCTTCTGCCAGTTTTTTAATAAAAAAATCATATATATGGATGTTTAATAAATAAACATATTTTTGTTGGTTGAACTGAGTGATGTGTGTACTTGCTCTGATCTAGATAAAGGGATTGACTAGGAGGCTGTTGGGTAGAAACCAACTGAGGATAACCCATAATAATTTTCCAACATAGTGTACATTCATAATTAATGCACTGTAAACTTTTCAGTTGCTGGAATTCAAATTGTT